ATGCATTTACTTCAAACTTTTTTTCTTTATCAAGTTCTGAAATTCAACTTTTACAACTAAATTAACAACAACGGGAATCAGAAAAACTGGTGCTTGTAAACACCCTAAAATGCTGCAGTCCTCAGTTTTGAGTATAGAAAATTTAAAAAGAACAATATTTTAATATGTGTACCTAGTATTTTTGTTGTTGTCATTTATGCTTCCTTTCTAACTTTAAATGCTAAAAGGTTTAGTCTTCAAATGGGGTTTTGCTAAAATCTTAAGGCCTTTCCCTATCACTTAACAAAGAGTAAGCTTTCTTTTTTTAAGGTACTTTAAATTAACAGAATAGTAGAACTGAATACAATTAATGTCACACTATTCACAAATAATCTCATTAATTTTCATATGTAGTCATAGAAAGCAACGTGGCTCAGTGTCCAAATTATGAAATTCACAAACAATAAAATGTTTTGACAGCTTTTTTGTATGTCCACAGAATATTTTAAGTCACAGTAAAACCTGTACTGTATGTTTGTGTGCATTTATTTTATTTATTTTCTGCCATGGTAGAAAATATTTAAGCATAAGATCACTTGTGCAGAAAAGAAAATCTTCTTTAAAAAAATCCCGGTACTCACATACCCACCTGTTGGGAAAAGTAGATGATCTCAGCATTCCTGGCTGCAGAATATTTTTGAACAACTTCAAACATGGTTTTCATACGCCATTTCTTGAAGTAAGTTTGAATGATATAAGCTGCTTTATCACCTGTATTGATATATACATAAAAACTGCATGCATGTAGGAACAAAAAAATGCAATAAATGTTAAGAAAAAAATCACATAAGCAGTAATTACCATATACCATAGTAATATCTTAACACAGTATAGAGGGCAGTTAAAACATAGGGTTCTTATGTTAAGTGCCACTTTAGGTTCCGTTAATACATAAATTTTAACCCTCAAATTACAAACTTGTTTATATACTTTTCTTTAACAGTGAATTACACATTGCATCACAAAGTTCTGTACCTGGTAATAAAACCCCCTTGTACAGCATTCAAAGAGAAAATTACAATTCCCACTCAGCACAAAAATTTAGAAAATGGTACAGATGTTTTCCTACATACCTTCCAAAATCTTTAAAATAATGAAGATCAACCCCTGATGGCCAAATGCCACCACATTTACAAGTAACTCCATCTTTGTTTACCAGTGTGTAGATGTTCAAATTACTAAAGCATTTTCAAAATAGCTGCCTATTTTTCCCACTTGTGGTTAAAATTCACATCACACAGGGAGCGATTTTCATTGTAGCCAATAAATATGTCTATTTTAAAATATTTCAAGCAGTAGCATAAACCTTCCAATTGTTCAGGGCCTGAGAAATCCCAAGATGAACAATGGAAAATTGCCAAATTGGATAATTTAGACAGCAGTGATCCAAATCTTTGTTCAGTGCAAAATATAGTCATTCAGATTTAGGTGCAATGTCTATTATCAAAGACACATATAGGAGGCCTAATGTTAACAACAAAATTAATTTGTCAGTGAGCACTGAAACTACCAGAATAGCTGGAAATACTAAACATTCAATGCCATTTAGCTGAATTTGGAAAAATATTGGGACTGCCTATTTTATGTGGAAAAGCTTGGAATGTTCTGTGAATTGAGTAAGAACTCCTTTTGACAGAGATTCTTGGAACTAAGCTCCTTGTAAGTGTATTAGGCTGGAATCTGTTAAAGATCATGAAAGTAATGTAGCTCAGAGGGATGCTGCAAGACTTCAAGTAGAAGCAGTTAGCATAATAACAATTTGAATATATCAAACCTGAATTTAGATTAAGTAACATGGATAAGAGTGTATTCTTCTCTGTACTTTATTTGCAAACAGAACTTGTTCACACTACTAACTACGAACCACTGCTTGCTAGATTTCATTTTGCTAAAGACTTAAAGATAGACAGTAAAGAATGTTATGAAGAATCTATGTAAGGGACTCTTGAACCTATTTTTGGAAGACATTCTGAGTCAGTAGCAGAAATCAGAACATTTTTCACTCATGTTTCATGAAACTACTGACTTCTCTGTGACAGAGCAAATGATCCATAGGTGTAGGTTCATTGATAAGGAAGGAGAACTGTGCAAATATAATTTTTGAAAGGTCTTGACTGTCTTTCAAAACCTAAACCTTTGTTGAAAGTTCCAACGAACTTGTTATTAGTTTGAATGTTTGTAATATAATTACAATGGGATCACTAGCTTTCTTCAAGAAAAGCCATTGATTCATTTTTGTTTGAGAGAATTGGGCACTGATGGTGCAGCAGTTTTAACTGGCAAACATAATGCCGCAATAAAAAAATAAATTCAGGATGCTGAGTTTTAGGCCCATGTTAGTAATAGGAAGTATAAATGAGGTGGAATGTATTGTGCTGTGCTTAAATTGAGCTTACCTACAGCTCAAGCAGATAATAATATTCCTTTCATGAATAAGTTCACAACTCTTTTTAGAGAGATCTGTGATTTCTATGACTATTGTACAGTGCATAGTGCAAGGCTTAAGGTTGTCCAGGGTCTTTTTAATGATCTAGAGAAAATGGTTCTTCTGCCATCATCAAAGCCTTAATAACTGTGTGTAGAGACTCAAAGAAATACTTCCAAGTATAACTAGTAGCTTTGGATTCGATTCTGAGAAATGAAGTGATGCTGCTGTTGGGGTCTCAATGATTTCTTATTTGAATATCAATTTATTGGAAACCTTTAGTTTTGTGTGATGTATTCCAACAACCGAAGATGCTCAAATCTCAGGTTCTTCAAGGATTATCCACTTTAGAGAGCCCAGTGTCATTTTTTCTTTAATTTTGCTCCTAAAAACAGTTTTTACCAACTTCACTTGTGAGAAATACCCTTTTCTAATTACTGGTTTGATGGCTAGTACTATGAAAATTCTCTTAGTTGGTTTAGGGTTCTTATTGCTTTTTCACAAGATAAGATATGAACAACATCATGGAGGGTCTTTGATTTCCTCTGCTCACTCATGTAATTCCCAAATTGTTGTTTTTTCCATTCTCAGACTGATTTACCCATCCAAACCTATCAAGTAAAATCTGAAGCTTGTAGTTATCATAGTCCTCAAACATGTCAGATGGACCCAACACACTTCTTGGATAAACAATGTTAAAACTACCCATTAGTTCAGAGTTAGAATCATTGAATCTATGTTAGTGGACAAGTTATTTAAAAATGGAATTTCATTTCCTTAACAAAATGATCCCTGACAGTGATAGCATCTAAGCTCTCTGGTCAGTCTTAAACCCTTCTGATAAATCAGTGTGACTCCAGATGACCTTAACTTATCAGTGTATTGTAAATGAAATCCACCCACAGTTTCCTTGGCTTCAATAGTTTTGAAAGCATCATCAACCATTTAAACATCAAGATCTTTCACTTGGAAAATTCTAAACAATATATTTTATGAAAGAGCTGTTACGTTGTTGAGAAAAAAATTAAAAATAGAAGATTGAAACTTTAAATTACTTCTCATCAGAACAATAACAGTTGAGTTTTGGATATTCTTTCAGAGTTCTAATGATAAGTACACTTTTAAAAGTGAATACTTATACTGTTGATGTCTTGTCATGAACCCATTCACCATATTCCTGGTTTGTAGAAGGTTTACTCTTACTAGAGGAAGTTTTGGTAACTTTAAGTATTTTGTTGTCTGTTTTGACCTAGTGTTATACTGTTGCACTGGAGATAAACTTATGTAAACTTAGTTGGTGAGTTCATTTGTAGTTATAATAAATAAATTCAGTGGTTAAACTGGAATTCTGAAAGAAGTAGAACTCCCTGTTGTGATCCACTTTGACATTCCAATCAGAAAGAAGACAAGGGACACCAATGGCTTGAATCTTCAAAAGGAGGAAACTAATCTAGATTGTTCCACCCCAATTTAACCCCTGAATAAATTAGTTAATTTACGAATTTTTGATATTTCAACTTTATTATCACATGTATACCTTCATCATTGCAAATTGCAGAACATGACCTCATCCTACCACCAGGCTAGTTCACAAATGAAACAACTATGTACTTAGTACCATCTTGTGAATAACTATACCTTGAGAACCTTTACCACAATAATTGAGCTCTACAAGTTTGCACTTTTATCATTTTCACTAAGGTGATAATAGGAACATGTTTGTATTTTTGATTTATCTATCTTGAGTACTCAAACTTTACACCCCAACATTTTAGAGTGCTGATACTTGTTGAAATAATTCTTTCTTCATAAATTGAATCAAAATTGAAGTTTTATCAAACATGCACAGGAATAAACATGCTATGTCTTGTTGTCAAGATTGTTACACATCTATTAAAATGTAACAAAGTTCATTATACCTACCACATGCTGAACATTTAAGCTAAATGCTACAGGAAGTAAGTAAACTTCTTAACTAATTCTAGATAGTTTATGCATGTGTTACTGGTCGATCAACTTGCTAATAAATTACACTAAATCACCCATAACTTAAATAGCTGTCATGATATGAACTGTGTTAAGTAAAGAGCAGTTTTACCTCAAGATCTAACAGTATTTGTCAATTTCTGTGATGTGTCAATTATAAGTAATTCAAAATATGATTCTCATTGCTACAAGAATATATGCATATGTTTATAAAAAATAAACTACAAAACAAGCATTTACCTTCACTAGAACAAAAAGTTTCTCTTCCTTGGATCAGGTTAGTATCTGAAATAAAATTTTTGTCACCTTTAATTACTTTTATGTTTTCACTTTACTACATGTAACTAAGAACAGATAGGAATTCATAAAAGTCATCTTTGTTCCCTTTAAATTTTGATGTGATGGCAAGAAATATGTCTATCTGAACAAAAACAGAGGTGGTTGCTTCCACTTTTGACAATTTAAAGGAAATAATTTGACCAGAAGTACAGCATAGGGTGATAAGAGTGAAAAGTTTATGTATTTTTCCATCTCATCTTTTCTATTATGTACATAAATGTTTGATGTTCCATTTTGGTTCTACTAATAAGTGGATATTTACAAATAGAAACTCCACCATTTTCTTTTTAAACTGTTGATTACGAAGTTTTGATGTTATTTATGTACATTCAAGGGAAAAAAATGGGGAATTTTTCATTCAAGGAAACTAAAAGGATGGTTAAAATATATCCTCAACCTGATATTTTATATAATTTACAGTATTCTATAAGAAAATGTATCCAACAGTACTAATGGTTTTTTGCATGATAATGTCAGCAATGACAATGGAGAAAGGTTTTTCATAATCATGCAGTGAAATAAATTAATGGTAATAATTTTCATCAAAGTTCAAATGTTTTGCATCAAATCAAGGAAAAAGTTAAGAAGTCTACAAGTTTTATCAGGAGAAATAAGACCCAGCCCCAGCAAAATGTAATAGTAACAGAAAAATAAAAAAACAATAGAAATTGGAGTCTGAACAAAGTGAATAAAGAAATGAAGGGAAGAAGAAACATAACATAGGAGAAATAAAGATTAACATTAACATTAAAATGTTTATTAACACAAAACAAATTTTGCAGTGTCTCAGAGCAGCACAGGGGCATTGAATTATATTTCAATATGCCAATGCTTATAATTTTCTGAGCTGTGGCTAATACTCTGTTATTATTGTAGCAAGTTCCAGAGTCTAGACTTAGGTGCTGATGTTTGATGCACCTGTCAAATGGGCAGCACAGAAATAAAGTAAAATAGAAAACAATCACACCTTTCCTTCCTTATTAGAAATACCTATATCAAGATGATTCCATGAGTGCTTATTGTGTGCTGCTATATAAATGAACATGACTGATGTAGGTGATGGTTCTATATCAAGATGATTCCATGAGTGCTTATTGTGTGCTGCTATATAAATGAACATGACTGATGTAGGTGATGGTTCTATATTAAGATGATTCCATGAGTGCTTATTGTGTTCTGCTATATAAATGAACATGACTGATGTAGGTGATGATTCTATATCAAGATGATTCCATGAGTGCTTATTGTGTGCTGCTATATAAATGAACATGACTGATGTAGGTGATGATTCTATATCAAGATGATTCCATGAGTGCTTATTGTGTGCTGCTATATAAATGAACATGACTGATGTAGTTTATGGTTCTATATCAAGATGATTCCATGAGTGCTTATTGTGTGCTGCTATATAAATGAACATGACTGATGTAGGTGATGATTCTATATCAAGATGATTCCATGAGTGCTTATTGTATGCTGCTATATAAATGAACATGACTGATGTAGGTGATGGTTTCTCCCCATTTGAGTAAAGAGCAGGTTGACATAGAAAATAGTATTTTGGGTTATTATTATTTCAGTACCTATAATTAGTCTATTTATTAGCATTTAATAAATGTGTTATGAGTTCATGTAATACCATAAAACACTGCATGGACCTTTACATTGCTCTGACAAATCAACAATATCAATCAAGAGTCATTAAGGTCTTGGAGCCCTATGATGAAATTAAAGCACTGTTAGTGTTAATCCCACCAGAAGTAACCCACATTTATGCAAATGAAATATGTATTAGAGGATAAAATAAACTTTCTGTTCCAAGATGTATACATAGCACTGAGAACACTTCTGATATTACCAATCACTGTTGCTAGTGGAGAACCTTCTCAAAAATGAAACTAATTAAAATTTACCAGAGATCCATGATAACACAGAACCACCTTACTGGTTTTCCACACATCAGTTAAGTTTTAGATCACTGAATCACTGGACTTGAAAGAGTTTGTTCAAGAATTCTTTATAAGCCCAAAAAGTGAATATTTAAATGAAAATTGCATAATTTTCTGTTTGATATTTTTGTTGTGTAAGTTTGATTTCTAATGGAAATTTCATATTGAAAAGGTAATACAAATTAATTTACTTTGCACTTAATGATATATGCACATATCTATGAGGTTTTGAGTCCATTTTACTTCACCATATAGTAACCTAAATTAATTTATGTATGTGAGTAGTTATGAAAGGCCTAATGGTATTTCTTTGGTTTGCTGACTTATGCTGTGCTAATGAGCCTTGAATAGGTGAAACTGCAATCCACAGTAGAGGGTACAGCCAATCAAAGAATACATTAGGCCTCTATATCACAGATTTTCTTTTCAGTTTCACATCTAGTGAAAAAGAAAAGAAATTTTTAATATATATACACAATATATGCACATGTTTACTATGTAAAATAGTACACATTATTTTTAATGCAGCGTCACTCAGTTGGCCTTAGCTTACACAACTGAAATAGTACATTTTCATATTTTGTCTTATCATGTATGTAGCATTATACCAAACATCATTCAAATCTAATTATTACTCATACTTTCATATTTCAGAGGGTTAAAAAAAAAGCACTTTAGAAAGAATAACTTAGGCTCTTGCATATGCACAATTAAAAAAAATTTACATTGCAAGAGATTAAAAAAACAACAACTTTATTAATACATACACTAACAACCATAAGACAATGAAGTAAATAATAGGAGGGAGTACCTTGGTTTTCTTCGGGAACAGAAGCATGTTGAAGATCATTTTGGGAATCAATTCCTTCACTATTCATTGGTTTTGAAACATGATTTGTACAAATGTTGTTTTGTTCCTTTAATTTCTTCCTTCTAGTTAAGAATGCTCGGATCAAAGCTTGTATTTTGACAATCTTTCTCACATGGTGCTCGTAAAGATGAGAGAGGTATTCTATGTGATAATACTTCAAGAAAACCTAAAACAATACTATTTGTTCATTCCATAATACACGGTACAATTTCTAAAGATCTAGTTCTAATTTAACAAGTTTTACAAATATGCACCTGACCACACATTGAAAATAAACTTTCGAAAATACCATTAAAGCATAGTTGAATATTTCTTATTGTTTCAACTAAATTTTTAATTAACAGAAAATACACTATGTTGTACTTATGAAGAAAAACAAAAATTATTAAGTGGATGTGTATGTTTTGAAACTAATGAACACCACATACACAATTATCAAAATTCATTACATCATAATATTAAGAAAAATGACACAAATATTGAGATTTTGTAGTCAGTGTGTTTTTGTTTTTTGTCAGTGAAACAAAAATTGTAAAAAAAAAACAACTTACCTTAGTGCGTCCTACATGCCAACCAGTAAGACTGAGTCGAAGGAGAAGTAAACGGCAGTTCTCTCGAGTTATCTCCACTTTCTCATCAAAATCAAACGTTAAGTATTGGTAACTGTAATTAGTTTTAAATCTGTCATATTTTTTTACAAATAATTAGATTTTACTTATTTTAAGCTTAATACTACTAATAATAAATACATTTGAATCAATAACAATAAAAATATTCTTAAGGTTAAATATGAACTCAAACACTAAATCTCAAATATTAAATTTCTGTATCTCATGAAACATTAGAGATACAAAATATCAGTCCATCAATTTGTACAATACATTTGGTAACTTAGCAAAGAGCATCTGTGAGAAAAGTAATTTGTTGCCAGAATACTTACTATTTGTAGTCAGTAATGTGTAATACACATTGGTTAAGTTAATTAATTTTGTGTTTATTGGAAAATTTATTTGATTCCAGTATACTCACCATAACTGGTCAGTAATTTGTAACAAATATTTTATTACTTTGTAAGACTTTATTTAGTGTGTGTAAGAAAAGCTGTTTGATAACAGTATACTCATTATAGATGATCAGCTTGAGCAGCAGAATGAAAAGGTTTGAAATAGAATTTTAATATTAGGAGCAACAGGTTTCAACTTTTGAAGCCTAGTTCCAGAATCATTCTTTAGCAAATTTTTCTTTTAAAGGCCAAATTTATTTTAAACTTTCATTTACTGATTTTAACAATTCCATTCTTATGGATAAAAGGGTACATGACTTAATGGACTGAATTGCCTTCTTCCACCTTGTCCATTCTTATGTTGAATGCTCATACTTCATTATTTTATAAAATTTGTGTGTCTATGTATGATGAGCATTTGAATTTAAATTCTGTAAAGGAAACTAAATTTTAATGTTTCATGTGAAACATTCCATAACTGGTCACAAAATTAATGACTTCTGTTTAATTACTAAGTACTGCTCAACCTCTTGTCAAAAATGTATTCTTCTTTATAAGATTTATTTGAAATAAAAATATCTGTATAGCACACTGGCACTTTGTTAACAGTTTTCCACCCTTCTATGCATTATTGGTTGACAATATGTTTATCAACCATTTGATGATACAAATCTTTTTTATTACTATATACATCTAAAGGGATATTGTATCTTCTTGTAGATTTCTGTACTTCTATAGAGTACGAGTTAAGATTGTGGAATGTTGTTCATAACTATATTGATCTACCTAAGTTCTGTTTAATATAACTTTAGTTAAGAACAAATGAAATATTCTTGAATGAAACCTAGCTCAGACGTCAAGAATGAACGAGTGCGACTTCGAGAATGAATGAGTGCCAACATAAATTTTAAAGAGAGAATATAAAATGATAAATAATCTCATAAAGTCTCTTCCATTGACAGAAATATCTAAGTATACGTACCAAAGAGTAATGTTGGTGTCTTACAGCATATTATCTAAGGCTAACCAAATAATCTGCTCTAGCATACATCCACACACATGCAGACTTTTGATGAATTTATGTTTCTGTTTTGTTTATTTGTCCTGAACAAACAAATATTCTAAGTTCATTATCAAAATGTCCATTTTTTAATTTTATTTGTTGATATAAGTTTCTGCACATGTTTTCATTCTCTTATTGATTACATTATCAAATGTTCCTTAACTTTCCCACAGTTATTCTCTTAGTTAAAACCTTAAATCAAGCCAAATTAATTTAAAGTGCCCTACAGAGAATGCAATAACATTTATTTTTGTTTATAAAAATATCCTAAATTCACTATACAAAATGATCTTTGAATATGCAAATAATAATAATAAAGCAACAGAACCTTATTCTTACCGTTTCAAAAATTCTTCAAACGGTATACGATGGGAATATCCTTTCTGCTTAACCATGGCTGTGTTTGTAATATTCAAACTGCTTATCTGACTCTGAACATCTTCATAAGAAAAACAGTTTGAATTAGACTGTCTATTGGACCGTAAGCAGAAAACAAAGTGAGGTGAGCCTTTGGTTATACATTTCAGTAACTCAGAGAAAGTCTGATAAAGGTTTAAAGCCTTTGATGGGTTAGCTTGGGCATTCTGTGGAATCACTCCTCTTGATGAAGCCTATGTTTAAGAATAGCACTGAATGAGCACATTACCTTTGCTTAAGAATGATAAGTCTAAAAATTGTCTGGATTTTAGAATGTACAAAATATTAGCTCTTGTAATAGCAATATTAGAGGATAGAAATAATGAATATAAAATTCCAATTGAATGACTGAGGAGAGATGAATTTCCTTCTCTAGTTGTGGTTTTTGTTTCGCAATAAAGCAGTAGTTATTACCACCGGGCAAGGTGTAATTTATCATTACAATGGGCTATCTGTCCTTGTGTCTGCCATGGGGATCAAACCCTGAATTTAAGCATTATAAACCTTAAGCTTACTGCTGAGACACTGGGGAAGGAGCCGTTATAGAATGAAAAAGATGCACTAAATATGTCATATGAAGGATTAATACATCAAAATACAATTTCAAAATTTACAAACTCATATTAAGACCTACAAGTTCTTTTAAAGTTGGAAAAATGTACTTTTTTATGAAAAAGTGTAAATTGTGGCACAAAACTTATCTATTAAGCAGAGACACTGATATTAAAGTAAAGGTCATGTTTTTTCAATGCAGCATATCTGTTAGATTTAGTTCAATCAACATGGGATGATATTTAGCCCAAACCCAAAGACTTTTGAATATAAGCACCAAAGCACTAATAACAATTAATTCCATAAATTTGGTATTTATCTTTTGCAAAATCTCTCAGAAATGTTAAGTATAGGAGTCAAAACAACACCATTTAAATTCTTTCATTCACTAAAATAACTTCTCATTTTTTGATCAAATTTCAATCCTCCAATTAGCTCTGCATATTCTGAAACCTCATAAAGTTTCATAAGTTTAATAGCAAGCTATTATTTTTCTGTACCTGCTAATACCATACATTACCTGATATATGAAATAAGGCTATATTTATGTATATTGTTCATGTTGTTAAAATTTCATTCGATACATCCTTTAAATCAAGCACTTTTTAATTTTCTACTTAACAAATATAGATGAAACCCTTTCACTGGAAATCTTAAAGTTGCCAAACTTGCCAGTTTGTTTTAACACATACATTTTCTTCTTTGTTTAGTTCTGTCAAATATTATAAGAAAGCCATAAAGCTCACATTAGGTATGAAAATATATATATACATATATCAAAACTCATGGGACACTGGTAGTTATGAATAAAACATGTCTTTATTCCAAGAAATTATTAGCGTGTTGGCCCGCCTTTAGCCTTAATGACTGCTTCAATGCATCGTGGAAGACTGTATACTAATTTCTGGTAGAAAGCTGGTGATATTATGCTCCACGCCTCCTTTAAAGCTCCATTACTGAAGAGGGCCATTTTGGCCTTGCCCTAATTCTGCATTCCAGTTCATCCCAAGATGTTCTATCAGGTTGAGGTCAGGTCTCTGTGCTGGCCACTGCAATGTTCCACTGTTATTCTTTTCAAACCACACATTCACAATCCTTGCTTTGTGACATGGAGTGTTATCATGTTGGTAAGGGCCGGTAACACAAAAATGCCACAGTGTAGGACGCACAGAATTATTCAGAACATCAATGTAGAACTCAGTATTCATGGATCCATGCACTGCGACCAGTGAACCTATTCCATACATGAGAAGCACCCTCAGACCATGATACTGCCACCTCCAAACGTCACCATTGGGACAACACACCCAAGTAATAAGAGTTCTCCAGGCATCCTCCATACCCAAACACATCCATCAAACTGGAAGAGCATGTAGTGTGAATCGTAGCTCCATAGAACTGATTTCCATTGATCCATGGTCCAGGTTTGGTGTGCCTTGCCACATGCCAATCGACAGTGTGCATTTGTTTTTGTTATCAATGGCTCGTGGGCTGCAGCTCTTCTGTGAAAATTCATAGTATGCAGCTCTCGATATGTTGTGGAAACACTTATAGGATTGCCTGTGGCTGCTTACATCTCCAAACAGGTTCAATAGATGGTGAGATGAGGTAACCAGCCTTTTCAAGGTGCATCAGTTCCTGTCAGTCAGTATTTTATGCCTACCTAGTCGTTTCTTGGGCTCATTGTTACCTGTGGACTTCCATTTTTTCAGCACGTTGCCAATTGTTTACCTGAGAATGTTTAATTGTTGCACAATAGCACGTACAAACATTTTCCTCAAATGACATCCAACTATCCTTATCGTTCGGCATACAAGTTCGAAATAACTTCCAAGCAAACTGCTGATCACCCATATAGGCCAAACTATTTGCATATTTTGTCATCACATCCATTTTCCTGCAATCACAGGTGTGTCCCATGACTTTGGGCAGGATAGTGTATATAACTAGCTAAGTACTGCATTTATAAGCAGCATTAGTTGTCATTGTCAAATGCTACCCTTATAGTAAGCGATTATGCATCTTTAAGTGACAAATGATTGGTGTAACATCATTATTTTGTGGTTCTTATTTTTTTTCATCTGACAGTATAATTACCAACTATTTACCTATAAAAGTTTTAAAACTGATGATAAATACTTGGTTTCAAAAAAAAAGAGGACAAATATTAAAGAAATGGCTCCCAAACACACAATGTGTATTCAGGACAAATGCGCACCTAGAACCTTTGATAATGAACAAAAATATGAATAATTATAGTACTTGGCAGAACAGTATATAAATACATATCAAAAAAAAAAAGTAGGAACATGAACATTATGTATTTAATATTGACTGAAGGTCCTACTAAGTAATTCAATAAAATACGAAGCAGCTTTTTATAAATAAAAATCTGTTTTACACACATTTTATGTCAATAAAAGTAATTTTTGGAATAATTTACTATTCCAATTATGCGATTCCTTTCCAAAATTTCAGTGTTTCATGCTGCCTCTTGTGCAACCCATATTCAAAATAAAAAACCCTATGTATTAAATTACTCTTAAAAATCACTGCAAAGTTCTTTCGAGAACTTAAGATTGATTTACAGTCATTGATACTTCTTCCTCTGTCAATTTTCATATGTTTACAAGAAAAGAAAAAGAGGGTTTCATCACAAGGGCACTCTCATACCAAAGATTACAGAAATAAATGTACTTCTGTATATATATTCATCAGGAAATATAAAATAAAATGAGTAATTTGAGTAACAATAATTAATCAAACATCCTCTTAGATTTTATTAAAAGTATATCATGAATTGTGCATTTTTAATTACCATCAGAGATATGAAACAAGAGCGTGACTGCTTTGTAGAATTTTTTGAAATGTTCATAATAATAAATCTTTCTTGAACTACTTATATTTTTTTTCTACTTTCAATTATAATGATAAAATAGTTTCACTTGAAAGGCCCCAACATACCTGTAAACCTCTCTGTCGATTATTTTCCTTTACTTTCACTCTAGACTCTGTTTTCAGAGAAAGATTCCCTGCATCGAATAAAATATCATAAATTTGGTAGAGTAAGCACACAGTCCTTTAAAGTAACTTTATAGTTATTTTTAAGCTGTATTTTATCTGGTCGAAAATACACTAAAAACTAATGTACTAAGTCAGATTTCCTTTATTAACTTAACATACAATACAAAATCATGCGAGTACAACAGATATAACTGAAAATGATGATGCAACAATAAATGTTCAGAGACTGACACATGTACACAGCGCTGCATTCAATATTACCATTAAAAACATAATTTCGAACTTCAGTAAGTTTTTTTCACATGAAAGTAATTTTATTTAAAGATTATCCTAACTTTATGTCTTTCCTTTGTACTAAAAAATATTTTTAATCCTGTATTTTATGATCTTCGATTTATTCTTCTTCTTTAGCTTTAGTTTTTACGTAACTAAAAATTTTGATTCATTGAAATCAATTTGTTGCATGTTCTTTTGACTGCTGGATGGATTTTTACCGACTCTAAAACTATATTAAGGACAATCTTTGGTGTTGAAAGAATGAAGTTAAATTCAAGTAACTTTTTCAATATTAAACTAGTTTTTTTGACAATTTTTACTGCTCGTAATCACTATCAGCATAGGTATATGCAATACTTTCAAAAAAACTACTAAAAATCAGAAACGAAATATAATCTATAAGCACATTTTAACACATAATAACCAAAGTAGTATAAATTACTAAAACTACTAATATCCTTAATTTTTTAAATTATATTTTCAATAATTTTTTTAATGTGAAAACAAACAAAGAAATAACTAACCATACTTCTTTCTGACTGTTAATACAACAAGGGGATTTATGTATGTAATAACCCAGAATATTTCAAAAGTATTACATGCATAGTTGAACTGTGTCTAATCATTTGTTTTTCACTATAAATATTTCATACATTAATAGTATCATAAATAATTCATGTTCAGCAAGTAGATCATTAGACTTGTTTGTTTTGTTGAATTCTGTGTGCAAAGCTATCTCTACTAGTCATCCATTATTTTGAAGTGATAAACTAGAGGGAAGGCAGCTACTCTTGTCACATTAAATAGTTGAATTTGATCAATCTTGTAATTCACCCATGATCTCAAAGAACGTAGCTCAATTGTTTTGGTTACGACGGAATGCAAACCAAAGTTCAGCATACTAATCGCTGAGCTAAGCTTGGCCATGAAATGTTTGAAGAAAAACTGCTGATCAAAGTGTATAGTGCTTTTGGTAAACAACAAAAAATTGTGAATGTTCAGAAAAGAATCAATACAAAACATTCACATAAATCTTTATACTTTTACAGCTAACACTAGAGTCACTGAGAAGTAATAATGATGATTAAGTATGAGCACAAACTTCATTAATGTACAATTACAAACTACATTAGCTGTCCTCTTGTAAACTCTAACTCGTGGTTCTATACAAAATAAAATATTATACTTGCATACAAAAATGGCCCGGCATGGCCAGGTGGTTAAGGCACTCGACTCGCAATCTGAAGGTCGGGTGTTCGAATCCCTGTCACACCAAACATGCTCGCCCTTTCAGCCGTGGGGGCGTTATAATGTGACGGTCAATCTCACTATTCGTTGGTAAAAGAGTAGCCCAAGAGTTGGCGGTGATGACTAGCTGCCTTCCCTCTAGTCTTACACTGCTAAATTAGGGACGGCTAGCGCAGATAGCCCTCGTGTAGCTTTGCGCAAAATTCACAAACAAACAAGCATACAAAACAAGACTATATAAAAAACAATGAGAAAATTAAATTATATTGATAATGTCACTGAATCTTTAATTAACATAATGATGTTCAACAGATTTTACTAATGAGCTGAACAATAGACATCAGCTTTTTGGTTGTTTCAGTTCATGGGTGTACGTGTTTTTTTTATGGTTATGTTTTCTTTGACAAAATGAAAACATTTCTATTGTTTGAAATGATGATACTAATCTTTTAACCCCTAAAATCAAGATTTTCTCCATCCCCAAAGAAATTTGCTTGTTATGTTTAATTAAAATCTATTTAGAACTGTAGTTATCATACAGAAAGTAAAGGTACATAAACGGATGGATAGACTATGTCATAGCTAAATTCCTCTGACTATTTCTGATAAGGGTTAATAAAATTATGACAACACAAATAAAAAAGGAAGAAAAAACAATCATGTAACAGTGTGAATAGTTAAGACATGGAAAATGCACACTACATTGTATACAGCAAAATAACCTGGAAAAAATCATGCTGTTCATTGTAACGTAACAAACCGTCACGCACAAGTACCATAAATAATGATATATATAAACCTGTTTTAGTCAGTGGCTGAGTGAACATTTCCTTCACTTTAGAATTGATGGAACGTGAGAATGCCAAGATAGCTTCAGGTGGAACTTTTTCACAGTTTTTGTCCACAAATCCCTCAACACTATAAGCAACATTATCAAAAGTATGCTTCACCATAAAAATCAAACCTTCATCTGCTAAGAACTTTGTGTTACTCACAGTATTCTTCAGTGATTCTGAAATTGAAAAAACAATAAATAAATTCATAATGGTATAAGTGTTTTCTAGAACTTTTATCACACAATAATGATGATTTATTAACATTATTAATACAGCACACTTTCAATTATAATGATGAAATAGTTTCACTTAAAAGAGCCTAACATACTTTCAAACCTCTCTTTAGGTTATTTTTCTTAATGAACAACTTAATTTCACAGCTCTGAGACAAGGTTTATATTAGTAACTCTCTATTCTCCGAAGCATGCTATCATCCCATTTTATCCTTTCCAGCTTAGATATGTTTCAAATGCTTGGATCCCATCATTTAATCTTTAATTAATAAAATCAATGACACAAGAAAAGCATAGTTTAATGAACAAAAACGAGAATAAATTGTAAATTAATGTTATGAACATGGTTTTTTAGCAATTATATTTTACAAAAGAAGAAAAAAAAGGTGAATTTTACAAAAAGAACAATAGTATTATTAAATTCATATTAAAGGATAACCATAAAAACAGCACTATTAAGTAGAAAAAAAACTCTTTTAGTTGTCTGACAATAAAAAACAAACAAAAAAAGCTTTTTAACTTTTTTTAAAGTTGAAGTTTGAGTATTTGCCTGTAGTTGATCATCAGTTGAAGTATATCTGACAAGACCTTAATCACAAGTTGCCATAATCATTAAATATTAGTGAGAAATTTAAAGCTACCAAAACATTATTTATTTTTATTCTTTATTGGTTCCAAATCAGGTGGTTGTTTATGAATGCATAAACAGTAAATAAGGTTTATTTTCAAAAACAGACATTGTCTAGGTATATTCAGCTTGTGAGTGTGGAATGGTCTATTTAATCATATATTTTCTTATTAGTAGTTATCATCTACTAACAGTACAAAAAATAAAGATACATAAATCACAATAATCCCCAGTATCAGAATAGAATTATGTTTATTTATATTTAAGGTACATACCCCATGGTAGTTAAAATCAGTGTTGCCAAGTTAGTACATTTTATGAGTAACGTTTTTCAAGAAATTGTTTCTTGTGAAACTTAGACAAACACAATAGCACGGCTTGTTATCAGTAAAAATAGGGATATGGGAGAGAAGGGATTCAACTTTCAAAAACTTTTACTGGACCTTCTGATAACAAACATTAATTTTCCAAGATCTCCAGAACCACAAAATTTTGTTTAGAACATTTGAGTTTCCAAGATTCTTGATCTGTGAAAACCCTGTATATACTTCCAAAATACCTCCTAAAGGAAGCAATACAACTACAATATAACTATTTTATGCTTATTTTAAGGATTAAATGAGATATGAAATATAAAGTAACCAATTGGTTAGTTGTTCCAGAACAATTCCAAAAACCCCTTGTCCTACATAAAACCATAACTAATATTGTACTAATAGCACATGTCAGTAATCAAGTTCCTTAAGGTGTACTTAAATGAATATATATATATATATATTGTATCTTACCAATTATATGAACATCTGTTACAGGCTGTCTCGTTACATGGTGTACAACATCCAAGATACCACCTGGCCGGTAGAGAAATAGATCCAGTAGAGGTCGATTATCTGCATGTTGTATACCTTGGAATTTTATATCTTCCATTCTACTGTCGTCCTAAATTAATTATTCAAGAAACAACATAAATAAATGGTACATAATTATGTCATCTACGAGTGTTATCCTAAATTTAGGTATCCTTTTAACAATAAAAATAACAATGTGTATATTCAGTAGCTTCAAATCTACCATTTTAATAGCATCATAACTTAAAGTATTCAGTTAACATTGGAATATTTTAGAGTTTTACATCTTTCATCTGACATACCTTTAAAGATGTAACAAATATTTTATTTCTACAAATATGTTTGTATCTTTCATAAATGTACCCAAAATTACATTTTGAAACTTTTCATCTTCCACTGTAACATCATCACAAGTTTCTCTATTTAATAGTTTCATATTTTATAATGTACACATCACTTCTTATGTTTCTTTTCTCTGTGTGATATATCATTTACAATGGATAAATATTAACTAGTCCACTTTTATTCATATTCAACCAATGAAATTATTGTGAAACATGTAATCTACATTTAAGTTCCAATCTATATTTAAAAAATATTTTACATTTATTAATGAAGGCATTACAATGAACATATTTTTTCACATATATAAGAGAATATATGCTTGTAACTATTTTAAACTGGCAATTAGCACAGTAAGATATCTAAATTTTTGAAAAATAAAATTACCATTTCCTTCTCAAACACATGTCTATTAAAGTGACAGAGATTCTGTTCTGCAATCATGTTTGAAACCAGCTGCTCAAAACTGTTATTCTTTATATCTTCAAATCCAAGATAGTCAGCAATGCTTATGGAATGAAAATCTCCACTGAAAGGTACACAAAATAATTATTCAGAATTACAGTATTCTCTTAAACTTTAAAAATGAAGTTTGCTTTGAAGTAATGAAATTTGCATTTTTCCTAGTAAAGTTAACAAAAAGAACTGCAATATGTTATAAAAGATATTTGTCTTTGTTTTTTCTACATATATGTTCAACTGAATACTTTAAGTAATTACACTTACTAGACAATTGCAGAAAAAGAAAGTTGTTTGGTAACCATGTTTACGACCCAGTCTACTAAACGTGAATACAAAAGACGGACAATAATGTCCCTTTTCTTCACTGCATCTTCAACTGTGTTACCATGAGACATACAAATTCCTCGAATCAGTGATGTACAGGAAGTAAAAACACGTAGCAGTTGGAATTCATTTATGCTCAGAAGAGAACCAACTGAAAACACAGACACAATGTGTAATTACTACAACAAAAACTTGATCCTTTCTGACAAAAGTAACAGTATAGGAAAAACAAGAGATCAGAAACATTTTCATTCATATATACACACACACAGATATATATAGTCATTTCCATTAACATGTAAAGTTAAATATAAAACAAAACAAAAATTTTTGAGTTACACAAAGACAAAGAAAGTTATCTAACTCCTTTAAAAAAGCCAAGAACATAGAAAAGCATATGATATAACAATGCCAAAACATTACATCTTAAAATATATACCTGTATTCATATTTTCACATAAAAAATAAAAAATTATTACAAAGGTATTTATGATAGAAAATATTTAAGTACTACTTCAATGACTTACTCTTCTCTAAAATCTTAGTGTTGTTGACCTCAGTAACAAGTCCAACTTTTACAAATTTCAGATCACCTAGCAAAATTATGGCTGCTAAACAATTCCAAACAGTAGAAATTTCCTAGTTCAAAATCAAATTAAACAAAAAGATTAATGAGGACACTCTAATACTAAAGAAATATTATATTATTAATAAATATAAGTTTAAAACAATAATTTGTACCACTAAAATGAGCATAATTTCATGAAATTATCATTTATGTTTTGAAAGTAATAAATATACATATATATGTAAATGTATGCATATCAATAATAATTCTATACTAACTAAAATATCCCCAAAGATGAAATAGATCATAATTCTTGAAATCATTAAGAAACTTGAATTGCGTATACACTTCGATGCACTGTTGAGTATCTGTGATAGATTATGTAAAGATAATTGTCTATTTTCAGTCTCTGCAAAAATATCAAAAAAATATCTGTTGCCAGACTTTCTATAAAATTTTTGTTATATAATGAAAGCATTAGGTCTATTTTCATTCTCTAAACGAAATCAAATTATGTAAAGAAAGGAACACCTGTTAGGATATTCTTTACATGAGATCGGTCTATGTAGAAAAAGAAGTGTTTAACATTACACAACTTTTAAGAAGAATGGACAAGTATATATATCTTTAAGAGGTATTTAGCTTACTTTTCAACCTTATAAAGTTATAGGTGCAAATAACAGATATACGGCATAAGGCCACCTTCCCAAATTGGTAATAGTTTCATTCTTTTCCTGTTTTTATTTCTGTGTAACCTGAAGATTACAAAAAGGTCATTTCTGAAACAACAAAATGAAATTCATTGGGCAAAAATGTTTGTATCCTTTCAAACTAAAAGGTTTACTATATTATGAAGCATGTTAATAAATAAATTAACTTATATCAATTCAAGCAAAAAAAAGTTGGATTCCTCCTAGATTATATGATATTTTCTTATCACACAAATTATCAGTCATCAAAATAAGTCATCAGTTCAATCTACCTCATTGGAGAAGGCTAAAGAGGCAAAACTATTGAATAGTGAGTTAAACATTTCTTTGTTCCTATCACTATTTCTGAAACAACAAAATGAAATTCATTGGGCAAAAATGTTTGTATCCTTTCAAACTAAAAGGTTTACTATATTATGAAGCATGTTAATAAATAAATTAACTTATATCAATTCAAGC